CGGTAGCTGCAGCCTGCACTGATCTCACTGTTCTTCTCTGGAAGTTGTCAGGAATTCACCCAAATGTTTCCAGAGAACCGTGAAGAAACAGGAGCCTGTGTGTGACTGAAACAGGAAACGATCAGCAGGAGGTGGGAGGAGCCAACAACACCTGTTTGCTTTGCTGGCCTTATCTCCCAGAACACCTGGGCGCAGCTCGTTTCCACCCAGGCAGAGCCGAGCTGGACCGCAGGACCAGAAAGACCAGTTAAAGCATGAAGGGCATTCCTGATTGAGATAATGTGTCAGCGAGCCTCTGATCGGCTGCATCACAGCAACAACCCGACGCCCGCCGAGGGAGTGATGAGGTTTAATGGTGTCAAAGTGTGAGAGACACGTCAGGGAAACTGGGATGTCACAGCTTTGCTCCACATGCGGAGCACCTTCGACCAGGTCCAGATCTAAAACCACTAAACTCATAAAACACCTCTGTTTAGTGAGAGAGTGAAGGTTTCACAGATCACAAGCTGTTCTATGAGCTCTGGATCTGACCCGTGGAGCCGTAGCGGCTCTACAGCTCACACACAGAAGTTCATCAAAAAATAGCTGAAACATCTGAACTGCTGGCTTTTTACAGACAGACAAATCAGAAGCTATGTTCTGACATTCTAGTCCAGACCTGATCTGTCTATATGCAGTGGTTCTGGTTCTGTACCTGGTCTAATGAGGTTCTAACACGAAAAAAAACTATTAAATCTCCATTTCGGGGAATTTTAAAAAACAAAATAAAAGGTTTAGAAATCACAAACTAAGAGTGTTAGCCTCGACAGGACAGTTTAGCTCAGACTCAATCAGTGTGCTGACCGGTTTCAGGTCTGGACCTGCTCTGACCTGGGCTACAGGCAGGACAAACCGGTAAACTGGTCTACTTTTCATATATCACAAACGTTAACGTGGGTTTCATAGCGTTAAAGGACTTAAATGTCCAACACAGTTCCACATCATCAACATGCAGGAACACAGAAACCAGTGAGGTGGATGTTCAGTGAAAACAGCTGCTCTGCTCCGGAGCTTCAGCATGAAGCCAAAGTGAGTGAATCCATCAGCAGACACGGTGTGTCAGCTGTTAGCAGCGAGTTCACCTGCAGGGCCAGGTGAGCTGTCTGGGCTTCACTGGTTCTGATTAACTTCTAACTTCTCTGCTGTCTGACGTCTCTGGTTCAGAGGAGCTGGGAGGCTAACGTGGCTAATTAGTTAGCTTAGCAGGCTAGCAGCAGCAGAGACAGTGACAGCACTGAGCTGCTGTGACACCAACACTTCGGTTAGCATCAACTACAAGGCGGCTAATTAAACTACAAGGCCGAGACACTTGGCTGACATGTAGCTAACTTAGCTTAGCTCAGGTAGCCGGTGTAGAAACCCGGGATAAACGAATCAAGCGGTGTTCCAGGGAGCTAGTTAGTTGTACTGGTTATCAGCAGATGAACTCGGGCGTCAGATAGAAGTAGGAGAGCAGTCAGCTAGCTGAGCTAACTGCGCAGCAGGCTAACGACAACAAGCAGCTAGCCGTAGCTTAGCTCCGGGCTCCGGCTGTCTGACAGCAGCTTCTCGGTTCCGGCGCAACGAGCGGAGCTCACCGACAGACGCGGTCCGCTGATGTCCATGACTCGGTGAAACGTTGCGCTGTCCGCGGGGTGTCCGCTGCGGCCGGCTGGACGGTGCGGGACGGCTGGAAGCGGAGCGCCGACTGAAGGTTGAGTCAGCCGGCTGCTGCTGCTGCTGCTACCCTGCCTCCGGATCTCCCAGCATGCACTGCTGCGGCTCTGAGGCCCAAACTTTCAGGTGGAACAGGTAGGTCAGAGCGCGCGCTGCTGCTGGCGTCAAACCCCCGGCAGGTAGTGTATCCTGTAATTGAGAATTCCATGTTCCGTTACTTTTCCATCCATGACAGGTCATTACATTTTACCAGGAACTGAACCTCCAGCAACTAAGTACATTTACTCGAGTACTGTACTCCAGCACAAGTGTGATGTACTCGAGTATTTCAACGTCGTGTTACTTTTACTCCCACCTCATTACACTTTATTACATTTTAACAAGCAACTCGGTACATTTACTCAAATACTTGTCTTGAGTACAAGTTTATTGATATTTTACTGGAAGTGTTCTGAAGCTGACAGGGAGTTCCCGCGAGAGAGGGAGTTACCGCGAGACTTCAGACCACCAGGGTTCGGTGGAGTGGTGTGTGGCTGTATGTAGTGTGTAGTTGTGTATCTGTGTGTAGTTGTGTATCTGTGTGTAGTTGTGTATAGTTGTGTGTGTCTGTGTGTAGCTGTGTCTGCATGTAGTTGTGTGTCTGTGTGTAGTTGTGTGTCTGTTTGTAGTTGAGTGTCTGTGTGTAGTTGTGTAGTTGTGTGTCTGTTTGTAGTTGTGTGTAGTTGTGTCCTTGTGTAGTTGTGTGTCTGTGTGTAGTTGTGTGTCTGTGTGTAGTTGTGTGTCTGTTTGTAGTTGAGTGTCTGTGTGTAGTTGTGTAGTTGTGTGTCTGTTTGTAGTTGTGTGTTTGTTTGTAGTTGTGT